GAAACAATACTCTCTCTCTCTCTCTCTCTCTCTCTCTCTCTCTCTCTCTCACATTTGTAATAAGATTTTATCTTTGCGTCTATAACACTTAAAAAACACGTAATATAATTCTCAAGAAGTTATTTAGTTATCAATTTAATGCGTTTCTTTTTCTTGCACAAGACACACTCTTCCTATAGGTACAAGGACGATATTCTTCTTCATGTTAGGAGTAGCGGCTGTTTAAAACCCGTCCGGTTCGCCGCAAATTATTACGTAGGCTGTAGACTATCGCGGATAAGTTCACGGTAAAACATTGAGATAAAGTCCAATTAGCTTATCAAAAGGAAGGGTAGTTAAGTCGAAAAACAGAAAGAAAAGACGAGTAATTATAGGTCTGTGAAAGAAAACGAAATTGGCCAAAAAAATGATAAGAAACTTACGTATATTTGACCGTCGCGTCATAGATTTCTAAATAATTTTTCACAATAGTTCAACAATTTGCACTTGGTGCATATAACACATTATTTTACTTTACCACGTCATGTAGCTTTTAGGAAGAGTGATGAGTTATCCGAAGTTGCACATGATAAAAATATGCGGAAATATTGAATATATATGCTGTCTGTTCGCCGGACGAATCTACTCGCGATATCTTTTCCGTCGCTAGACGTTGTAACGTGAAAAAAGGTGCGCTTGTTCGATGTTCCCCGTGTTTCTCTTCGATCTCCTTCATTGGCGACGCAGACGAGAAAAAAGTGTGAGAGCGGCTGTAAAATTTACGAGGTCTAACTCGCTCTCCGCCGCACACTTCATCGAAAGAGAAACGTTTAACGATCGTCGTGCGACGACTATCAACGGAATCCGACGGTGTTTACGACGACCGATTTTTCGGACGGCACATTGTGGAGTAAGGAGTGGGTGTGCATGATGTGTCATCAACCGACGCGACCAGGCTTCCATATAAATAATATTATATTTCACATTTCGTTACAGTTCAATAAATATCTTTCAAGTTTTATTTACATAGGCGGGGGGGAGGCGCGCGAGAGACTTAATAAGAAAGAAACGATGAACCCTTAACTGTGGTCGCGATCACAAAAACTATAGAACGAACTATTAATCGATATAACGAGGAAACATTAAGAAAATTGATTCGCGTCAACTCTTTAAGTGTTGATTTGGCAGTGCTTGCAACCTTAGATTTAAAGATTTGTGAAGATCATAAGCGTCAAAGTAAAGAGTGCCATAGACTCTCTTATAGGAGCCTATAAGAAAGAGTTTTCATTATCTTCAAATATACTTATCGGATGTAAAGTTGAAGCTCTTAAAGAGTTAATCGCGAAGAATAGTAGTTTTGTTCATAATAACATTTCTGCACCACAGATTAAAGGTTTCACGGGCATCAGCACAGCGTTGCAAATCATCATTATGCAACGAATTGACGATGAATGATAATTTTTTGCGGCTATAATATATTTGTTTTATATTTCGCGCCAACAGTAAAAATTTGTCTCTAACGTTGAAGAGATTAATTATGGCACTAATTCGATCGTCTGCGAGCAATCACGTGTTAGGTTCACCAAACATCACATATACGCGTAATTAATCATGCGGAAATTATTTCCGGCACACACTAGATATCTTCGGGAAAAACGTATGTTATCTTCAGATTTGCAAAATCCAGGAGAATGTAAATCGAATTTCCCGATGACTCGGCAGTGCGTTAAAGATAGCAAGAACCAAGAGAAACGCCTCTTCTTCGTAAGCTCGAAAGCTTCTCTCACTAATCTCTAATCCATGATGATTCTCGCACATTCCTTGCACGGCTAATGATTATTAGACATATCTTAATCGGGCATCGAAATCGTCAACGCTGCAATTATAGAAACATGACAAGATTGCAAAATCAGTTCATAAATCATACGACGATCAGTCACTACAGTTTCTCGAGCGCGCGACTGTTCGTCAGCAATTCCCTGGTGAGTCTCCACACCTGCTTCGCGGCATTCTCCAGACCGCTTGGCGATTTCCCCTTGAAGAGATCGAGATTCGGTAGAAAATAATGCGGGCATCTACGGCACTGCAGACAGGAGATTAGTTGCAGAAAAATGCCATTTATTCGCTCGGCCAAACAACCCTCATCCCATTCCGCTTCATGCGGGTGCTTCTCACACTCGTAGAGTAACAAAGTCTTCATATGATAACTGGTGACCGGGTTTCCCGGTAGATCGAGATGCCGATCCCTGAGAGTTTTCAATATACTCAGGCAACGCTTTCTGCTCGCACCTTGTAACAATCGATTCTCCGCGTCGATAAATGACAACGCCCAAGCGTCGCCCTCCATGGCGGACTGCTTGCCCTGCAGGCCTATGCATTCCTTTGAGAGCATATCGAAGCCCTCTGCCTTCACCTCGGCGACGATGTTTGGGTGCGGCCAAGGTATATGTGCGATCGGCCAATGGGAGGCTGACCTGGGCCAAAGACCAGCGCACTTAAAGGCCGGTGTGATCTGCACGACATATCGTTCGCGTATCCGTAGCTTCACCTCAGTAGTGTCGGCGATCATCTTCACTGAGTCCCGATATGTGCACTTGTCGCAAGCCTGCGCCACTAGAGTTTGAAACCTCGAGCGTATCTTTCTGGCTGACAGGTAGCCGGACGCGGTGATGAATTCCACCCAGAGGGACATGGACCTCTTGCGCCCGTCGCTGAGCTTCAGCACGGCGCAGCCCGGCAGGGTGCCGTCATCCACAAAGTTCAACACGCCCATCTGATTCAGATAAATGACGATCTCGAACTCCGTCGGCGAGATGACGTCGAGGCCGTCGAACCGGCCGTTGTAATCTGTCAAGGACGAGATAAATCTGGGCTCCTGCACCTCCACCTCCTTTAAAACGTCCTGCACGACTCGGCACACCTCCTGGATGGTCTTCGCCACCTGACTCTTCCTACTCATCACCCGTTCGCCGAAATACTTGTTGAACTGATACACCATCCTGGAGTGGGATGAAATCATATCAGGCGGTACCAGCATTGTGCACCGCCCGTGGTCCACGGATGGTTATAATAATGGTCTTCAGCTTCTCCGGATCATTACATTCTTGTATCTTCACATCCAGGTCTTCCTCTGCTTCGCCCTTATCATCGAGTTGCTTTGCGCGGCTTATCGTGGGATTGTGAGAAGGCGCGAGGTTCGTCGCTCATTAATTGGGAAATTTGGATCTCGTTGCTTCGTTGTTTTAAAAAATCCACCTGGTGTTCACCGGGACGCACCGCGCGTCGGAGACACCAACGAAGCGGGAGGAAGAGGTATCGCGAGCGTCTCCGTGCAGGAGCAGATTGCCGACTGCGCTGATGTCTACCTCCTCCGCGTCACCCATCCTCCGTGGCGAGCATGAACGTACACCGTTGCTTGGCACGCCTCCTCCGACAGATTACGCCTTCCGGCGAGGTTTTTTAGCCAATCGGAGGTCTGCCACGCTTTGCGGGCGTGGTTCACAGCGCCAGACCGACAAAATCGATCCGGCACAGACACTCTAGCGGTGTTCATGTGTAACGTCCACGAAGGGGAACGAAGACTAACGCGAGGCAACCCTCGTGGTAGCCCTTCTTCCTCCCTATGAATTATGCAGGAACTGCTTAGTTTATTTCCCATCCGCGGGGGCACGGTCCCTCCTCTGCAGCCCCTTTAGTTATTCCGAAATTTTCGATATGGTGGACCACGACTGTATCTGTACTGTCGGATAGAGTTACCTCAAACTCTTTCATGTTAAAGATATTTTATTTCTCAGTGGGCAGTGAAAGTTGATGTAATAATTATTCAGTTTTCATTGTAATTGATTAATTGATGTTTACAACTATCGAGAGATATCCTTTTTGAACTAAATCAATTAATTTTTTAAATGTTACAAGAAATAAATTGAAAAAACAATGTGATATATTTAATTTTGAAAGAAAGTAATAATTATACCGATAGCAAAATTATTACAATAAATAAAGTATAAATAAAGTATGACATAAATATTGATGCATCATCTAATCGTTATTTTCATATCGCTTTACATGATATGAAAAAAAGTAAGATTTTGTTTTTAATGAAGAACACTAGAAAAGAATATAAAAAATATTCATATCTTGATACATTTTACAATAATAGCACTACAATTTCTTGCAACGTCCATAATTTGAAATTCCACAGTCAATAGAGATCTTTACCGTTCGTGTTAGAGTGCAATAACAATTATCATACACATTTTGAAATGGTCGAATGTGTGGCAAAGCAAGAAAAGTGAATGGCACCGGTTAACAAATATCATCGCCTGAAAAGGAAGATGCGGAACGTTAAGGATAAAATTAAGATAAGAATGTGATATTCTAGGTAGGCGTATAATAAAGATAATAGTTTTCGCCTTGTTGCCAGTGAGTCGTTCAAGGCTTCTATACAAATTAAGTACCCTCTCTCTCGACTATTCGGCACAATAATTGCACAGTACACGCTTATCACAATCGGATATACAACACATTAAGAAAAACATATCCCTGTAGAAGGAAAGCGATTCCGCTGAAAGTTAATTAGCCAAGACACGCACGTATTTCAACACATATTTCAGCACGAAACATAAAATTTACGAACCAAATCATGTTTATCAATTCTCATAAAAAGAAGTTCGCGAATTTTTACTAAAGCGGGAACATAATGTTTTACACAAATACATTAAATTGTTTTTTTTTTTATATCAAAAACGTTTTAATTTATACTTAATACTTTTTACTTAAATATAATTAGCTGCCTGATATATTTAAAAATGTACATATATATGTATATTTTATATATCGAGATATTCTGTAGTCATATAGATATGATAATATTAAAATAAGATGATAAAATTTCTTAATTGCAATTGAATATAATTTCAAGGTGAGGTAACTTTGTTTCAAAGTAAATAATCATTTAATTGAAGATGAAATAAATTTATTCATTATGTACATTTTAGTGGTTCACGTATACGTATACGTGTATAATGATCCGATAAAATAAATATTTAAATAATATAAAAGAAGTATGTATACCATATATATATATACATATAACAATAAGTAGTAAAACTACCATCAGAAGCTTATTACTAACAGATTAAAATATTAAATTAATAAAGGTAACAAATCACATTATTCTAGATGAACAAATAATTGTAATATATTCAAAACATATTGCACATTTTATATTTTCCAAATAATTCAGAATATAAAAACGGCTTTATGTCGTAAAATTCTTTGATGTATCATAAAATTCATTCAGCAACATAATTTCATAAAGAATATTATTAAACTTTAGCAGAATGTTTTCAGAATTTACTTCTTATTGCAATTATAATTCTGATATTCGTTGTTTTATAATGTTTTGAGATAGAATAGTTATTATTGCATTAAATAATTATATGAAACATTCTAGTTTGACAAAGACTTGCCATGTGTATTGCAACATAATCTTTTATACTATTGTTCTAAATGTATAGCACTTAATTAGTCGCATGGATATCATATGTTTAACTATGGCATTATTTATTTTTCAACAATTTAAATGTTTCGAAATAAAGCATTAACATGTGATTTTAGTCATTTCGTGTATGAAAAATAAACAAAACTAAATTATTATACACTCATTTTACGACAAGTTTAATCAATTTAACTAATTATATATTTTTCGTCTTTTTCTCTTTTTTAACTTTTTATGATTTATGTAAGTTTTTTTTATTATTCTTGTTGTGTGGATATTATTTCTACTCGTCAAATTATGTACAATCTGTTAAACGATAAAGAAATCAATTTAATTTCTTTTTACACAAAATTTATATGTAAAGGTAAAAACTTGATATTATTTTATTTAATGAGTGAAATATATAACTGTATAAATAATATAACTTTAAAACAAAACAAATAACTAAACATATAAAGCTAGTTGAATTGTTTGATTCCATGCAACTATTCGATTGTTAAAAAGAAAATAAAAAATTCGAATTATCTACTAGAAGATCATTATTGCTCGTTGAATCACGGTTGTTATCGAAAGAAAAGAAGTACAACTGAAAATGGCTTACATGTCGAAAGTCATTTGTAACAATGCACCATCCCTAAGCCCTTAGTACAAGCGTATATTAAGTAATAACAGTAACTACAATACTGTTCGCGTGTAGTATCGGAGAAGCGTAATACCATGTGGTATTAACGTTCTTAAAATCGTGTTACACGTGTAATCGTGTAATCGTTTCTCTGTCCTCGTTGTTCGAGCGCGCTTTCGAGCAGAAGGACGCTAAAGTTTCTCCAGCGCACGGCTATTTGTGAGCAGTTCCCTTGTAAGTCTCCAAACTTGCTTCGCAGCATTTTCTAGACCGCTAGGCGACTTTCCCTTGAAAAGATCGAGATTCGGCAGGAAATAGTGAGGGCATCGCCGACATTGTAGACAGGATATTAGCTGGAGAAAGATGCCGTTAAGACGATCGGCTAGACATCCCTCGTCCCACTCGGTCTCGAGGGGATGTTTCTCGCACTCGTGCAACAGTAAGGTCTTCATGTGATAGCTGGTGACCGGATTCCCCGGTAGATCGAGATGTCGGTCCCTCAGGGTTTTGAGTATACTGAGACATTTTCGGCGGCAGCCGCCTTGCAGCAGTCTGGTTTCCGCTTCCGTAAAGGACAGCACCCACGCGTCGCCCTCCATCGCCGACTGTTTGCCTTGAAGCGCAACGCTCTCCTTCGACAGTAGGTCGAAACCCTCCGTCTTGACCTCCGCCACCAGGTTGGGATGCGGCCAAGGGATGTGCGGTATTGGCCAGTGAGCGGCAGATCGCGGCCACACGCCGGAGCATTTGAACGCCGGCGTGATCTGCACGACATACCGCTCCCGTATCCTTAGCTTCACTTCAGTGGTATCGGCGATCATCTTCACCGAATCCCTGTAATTACACTTGTCGCAGGCCTGTGCCACCAGAGTCTGAAATCTCGAGCGTATTTTCCTAGCCGACAAGTAGCCGGACGCGGTGATGAACTCCACCCAGAGAGACATGGACCTCTTGCGCCCGTCGCTGAGCTTCAGCACGGCGCAGCCCGGCAGGGTGCCGTCGTCGACGAAGTTGAAGACTCCCATCTGATTCAGGTAAAGGACCACCTCGAATTCACCCGGAGATATCACCTCGAGACCCTCGTAGCGGCCGTTGCACTCGGTCAGCGAGGAGATGAAGCGTGGCTCCTGCACCTCGACCTCCTTGAGCACGTCTTGCACGACCTTGCATACTTCCCGAATGGTCTTCTGCACCTGGCCCATGCGAGCTTGTACTCGCTCGGCATAGTACTTGTTCATTTGATACAGCATCTTCGAAGGGCCGCCCATAATATCTTGTGGAACCAACATCATGACGAGACTGTTTGCTTCCGACGATCCTCAGGATGTTCTCCCGCCTCGGACAAGCGCGTCTCATTCTCTCATGCGCATATTCACTCACGGATAGACATGTCATTGGTGTCGTTGTTGTTATCGTCAATCGTTTTCCCGTGCATGATTCCGACGGCGCCCGGGCGGTCGCGCTACGCGATTGATGTCGCCCCGATTTTTCAGCTCGAGATGGAGGCACTGCTCAAAATTTGCAGTCTCAAAAAAAGGTTGCCGGAACGGGTTACGGATGGACGAATCGTGCGTGCCTAATCACGCGGCAGGTGTTGTACGTGCAACGAGCGCAGCTCGAGGTGTTCCGCGCGCGCGACGACAGAGAGAACGTCGCTGACCACCGGCTGGTTCTACCGCTTGTTGTAGTTGTGTGCTCCGTTGCTGAAGTCCCGCCTTCCAAACGACAGGATCACGTGGAGCGTGCGCGTTGTTACCACGCCTCCTGTCGTTCCTCCTCCACTATTCCTTCTGCCGCTCGTGATACCGTCGATGGCTAGCGATAAGCTATGCGATTTAAGGAGTTCTATCACTAATTCATCACTAGTAATAGACATTTCATCACTAGTAATACTTTGATTTCTGCCAATATTTCACTCTAGCTAAATTTTCACTTTTTTGCAAAATTTCAAGGAATTTTCGTAACAATTCTTCAATAAAATACATTAAAATACAAAAATATTCTATGTATCGATAATAATAATAAAAGCTAATGATAATGACGATGATAATAATGATAATTTTAAAATGGCAGAATTATTTCAGATTAAATTTATTTAACGCAACTTTTATACGCAACGTTTTATTTAAAACTTTTTATTTTATCAATTAAAATGTTATTACGTCAAAAAATAACACATACTAGAGTTTTATACAAATTTATTTGTTATATTTTTAAATCGGTAGCCAATGATTTTCATATTGATATTTGAAGCATATTCAAGAGAATGGGCAGTTTGCACGATTCTGTGAAGCGATAATTTAAGGCATGATCAAGTGAATAGATATGATAACGTTCCGTTGAAAGGATCATTTGAATATTGGGTGCTGGCATGAAAGGCGACCTCGTTTTCCGCTCTCATTCGTATATACATTGCCAAACGCAAATATGGAGCTTCAGTTTTCATGGTACGCGCGCATGGATACACGCACACCGTACGGGCAGGTGTGCGCGACGAAAAATAGCTTACAAACACGAGATATCCTCTCTTGGAGCCTCCCTTTTACAACGCGATCGTAAAAACTCACGCTATACAAATATCCACCGAAGAATACTGATCGATCAGGCGGATATATCAACTATCCACCGCACGAGATTTTGCCGATTAGAGATCTCCATATCTTCGGCCACCATTCATCCGTTGATCGTTCCAACCCTTTGCAATAGAACAAAAAACAAATTTTTAAAATATGATCATACGAGAAATATTTTAGAATATTTTTTATTATTGAATATATTATTGAATACATTACATTTTAGAGATTTCTTATTATTAAATATATTATAAATATATATTTTTTTAAATATTTTTCGTAATTAACGTTTTACTCGTTTTATGCTTTAATTATCACGAATCCAATCGTTTGTTTTATCAAATACACTGGGGAAATGGCAGTACTTACATTCTTTTTATTTCATTTAGTTCGTTACGCCGTCCATCACTGTCCGGCTTGTTGTTTATGCTCCGATTGCCAAAGCTGCGGAGCGAAACGGTGGGTTGTGAGAGAGTCGCGCCAGGTTCAATTCGTGCTCTCCGTTCATGGATAATCGAATAAAGCTCGAGAATCCAATCTACTCCAAGTTGGAGTGGTAGATTGGTACCCGGCGGTCCCTGCTTCTCTCTCGCTAATACGACTTGATTCATGAGCCGAGCACGTGTGTCGTACTCGCGATCTCTCTCTGTCTCGCTCGTCTTGTTTCGCTCTCCCATCTTGCGTTGGTGAGACGAGGGGTCAAACGTTCTGCTACATCAGCTCTCGCATTAAGGCAGAACCCGAGGGCTCCTACCGCCCTAAATGTGCCTTTCATCATCCCATTTCGAGTTAATTCGTTTATCATCTGAATTATTTGTACACCGATGTTCTCGCGGACTGGCTTGAAACGTGACGCTCGAGAAATTATCGTTCGATCGGAAGCTACCGGATACAGATTGAAAGATTCAAATCAACGGCATGTTTTTACAAAGAAATTTATCGATACAAAAATATTATTCTTTTATCATCGATCGTGATACCAAATTTGCCACCTTTGCTGATTCGTTATCTTTGTCTTTGAATAAAAGAATAAGTTTGAGCAATTGATGCACACCAAAATATTTTACTCGGCATTGTAGTACAATAGTATAAAAGGTGTACTTTGGTTACCATTGCGTAGACTTTGCTGTTTTCATTGTGTAACATTTCTATCGAGAATCGTGACGCATCTTCCAACCACTCTGGTGTATGCAGACGGCATGTCGAGTCGACCTTGTAAATCAGCTCGAATGAACATCCCCGCGTAATCCCCAAGTAATCCGGGACTCGTTCGTTGAATTTCGGCAGCCGGCAGAGGAGCAGTGGCTATGGAGTACGTATTTCACGGTTTCTTTGTCAAATGGCGCGGAAAATATAGATCGTCCCAATGTCGGGATTTCATCTCAAAGAAATTGCCTCGATCGTTACGTAAATCCGTCACCAGAAGAATCGCTAGATCGAATGATCGAAGCAAAAGTAAAATTGCATTTAAACGATATATATTTTTTACATAAATTTTTAAACATAATAAGAACTTTTTATTAAACATAAGAACTTTTTAAAGAAATTTTTTGTATAAAAGCAATTTTATATAAAAAAAACTTTCTATAAAAAGAAAAGACAATTTTATATAATTTTATATCACATTATTTCCGGTTGCAAGTTGCTTCGAATATTTATGTTAGAAACATTTGAAAGTCATATAATAATTAAACGCCGATCTTTTACAACAGGATATTAACAGCAGCGACGACCATAATCTCCTTCATATTCACGAACTAGTAGTTCAAACGAGCAACTTAACACGACAGACGGTCTCGTTCGCATCTGTGTTACCGGAAACAGGCTACATTATTTACGGTTTTATGATACCTAGGAAGCCCGCGGTACGGGTTAATTAAATGGAAAAACAGCGTTCTCTTTCCGCTGTTTATAGAATGTCATTAGCTCGGGCAACTTCGACAGTCTATTGTCCATGTCTGTGTTTTCATGTTCATCGGCAATTTCCTCGGTATGCATATTGATGCATACGCATACATTTTCGGAAGATTTTTCTTTCTTTTTTTTTACTTAGGGCTTTTTTATTTTTTATTTTTTTTTTACTTAGGGTCTTTTTTACTTTCTTTTTTTTTTACGCAGGGTAGCAAATTTAGCGGAACGCGAGACGAGTCACGCCGCATGGTTGCCCTTTATGCGTTATCTCGCGCGATGCTGCGGTAATAAAGGTATGAGAACACGCACGTGGCACGCATAACTCATCGCCGCTTGGGATCGCTGTGATGGCACCCGAATGTTTCGAACATTAGCCGGCACATCCAGGAAAACGAATCCCACACCGTCTGTTTTCATCAGAGCGGCAACCTTACGATCGGTATCGTTCTATAAAATTCACGGTTATATTTTTATTCAATTTGTTTTCATCTCTAAAATCTTTGTGTTTGTTTGTAAATTGACAAAATTTAGGCACGAACGATGAAATATTAATTAAGCCATCGGTATTAAGCAAAAAAATAAAAGTTCCGCACTATTTTCATCGTACGTTACTTTATTCGATGGACTTGAACTGATAAATAGATTTATTGTACTTTTACGTAAATCATTATTATTATTATTACGTAAATCATTATATCATATACTACTTATTTGTTAATTCATTATTTGATTCATTAATGTCGAAAGCAATGAAAACTGCACCTCTGCAATGAACAATTGGGACCTCGTATATAAATATACATCGCGTTTTTCTTTACCAGTCATTTCGTACGCTACACTTCACTCTTTGCCGTTTGTATTGTTGCGCCGTGATTTTGAAAGAACCGTCACTCGAAACGCGGGAAGGGTACTTGTAGGCGTCCAAGTGAGCTCGACGAGTGAACGGCGGGTCCATTATTGTCCGGCGCTTAATCTGTTTGTTGTATACCGCCGGCGGGCTGCTAAGTGGTATCCCATTCTATGGTATCCCTATGGTGTATATAGAGCCAGCGTGCGGCGAGGGAGGGGGAGGACCCCCTTGCGAACGCGACACATGTTGTGTTACATCACATCGCCCATTGTCATCGCGGCGCAACCCCGGCGCTCCGCTGAGTCGGGACGGTTTCGGTTGGTGAGAGATGAGCACGCGGAGAGCATCATGGGGAGCTCTAATCGCGTATCACTTGACACTCCGCGGCCAGGACCTCTCTTTAACCGCGTGTGGTCCCTGCCACCCAGCCGCTGACTCGCGTCGCGACATGTAAACGTATTATTTTTATGTCCTGCCGGTACCACGCACATCTCGCGGCTCGATGACATCTCGAATAGAATTCCCAGAGATGAATATGATACTTATGTATATATACTTATGTACGTAACGAATGTACAGAGAGATCTCGTATTTCTTCCCTCACGATAATCATTCAAATATTGAAAAAAATATATTTTAAGATAATAATTAAATATTATTTTAAGACTTTGATATAAGGAGCATTAATAATAGTAGCATATATTATTAAAGAATGTTATCTTTCTTTAAATATAAAAATTACTTCACTAACGAAATGTAAAATCTTATATATATAGTTATGAAGTAGTTCTTTCTTTTTTTAATTTCTTTTTATATGTATAAATGTTTGTGATGAATAATGAACATACAATATATTTCATTAAATTACTTAATAGTTGAATTGCGTGACTATTGTAGTAAGATTTACGTTTCATTAAAAGCTATCAGGTATTTCGTCGATTAATGCGATTGCAACAAAGAGTTGTTGCGTTAGAGAACAATACATTATGTCCTGAATGTACGAGGGTAAAATAACGATAAATGAGCCTATCTAATTCTCCCAACAAGATTTAATGCGAAGTACGTGATATATCTGTATTACGGCCGCAGGTATTCAAATAATGGATTCTGAGCCACGATGTGGCCTTTATCAATCTCGAGCAGTGTTTGCGGAGAGCTTGCGCAGATCGCCCTAGGGGTTGGCTTTGCTTATACGTTCGCACCCCCGACTGGTTTCCAATCTTGCGCGGTGTGTCGACCGTGCATGAGATCATCGCATAATCCTTAAAATTCTAAACAAAAAATAGAAACATTGAATATATTGTACATTTTTCTTTTATAATAATTGCCAAATGTTTTATGTTATGTTATTTATGTTGTGTTAATTATGTATCTTTAATTTTCGTCGACAATCACATGTTCTTGTTATAAGTCAACATGACATTTGTAATGCTAAGAGATTTGAAACCTCTTAGATTCTAATTTTGACAGACGTTTAGTGTTCTAATTTTGATAACATTTAACAAGCGTTCAACAATTCCTAATATGTTACATTTTCTTCTTCTTCTTAATTAACGAGGTTGATTTATTTTTCATGCTTTTAATATCGAAAGTTTTATCATTGTTTTATCAATGAATTCGATTTACTGCGATAATTTTTCCGTTAAAAATTACAAAATAAAATATTATAAAATACAGATATGTTAAATTGTAAAAATAATATTAGTTTCTTCATTTATTGATATATTCTTTATTGATGATCGTTTGTTCTGTAGTTTGTTCGTCAAGAGATAATAGCACTCATTAGACTTAAATAAAATCGTTTATAAAAATGAATGCTATCCATTCCGGCTTGTTAAGATTTGATGACTGTCTCGTTAAGGAATTTTAACATTTATTTTTTTCTTTTGATATGTAATTTATATGTAATTATGTAGTGTATATGCATGTGCGATTCTCGTATTCGTTGGAATCTGCCATTTGCAATTCGCTATAAAATTATCGAGATGCTTGCGCACGTTTAATTACATTACTTAAAAGTAATCAAATGTACTTTCAAAGAATAGTAAAATAATTGTATATACATGATGTTAAGGTGTCTTCGAGTAGCGATGTCGCCTTCGATAAATCCGACAACATTTCTGGTTACGCTCGTGCGTTTTTATCGTAAAAAATAGTCTTAATAAACGATGAGGATTGCAGATAAGATCTTATTGGTATTTTTGAACGCAGACTTCTCGGACGTAATCGGCTAAAAGGATCATTTCGGTGGATTATTTCGAGGATAATTTCATTCACCGCGCGTAAGGACATCGCGGCGGCACGATACGTCCTCATTAAGAGGCAAAAATTGAAAGCCCTGTTAGATGCGGGGTGACAAATCCGGAATCCCTCACTTTGTCTCCTTCCTTCTTCCCTTCTTTCTTTTGCCATGTACGCCGGGTCTTTTTCTCTTCCACCCTGTGCACTCTTTCGCCGAACCTCATTCTTTTTGTTCTCCATCTCTCCCTCTTTCGCCAACGAGTTGTTCACGACTCGTTCGAGAGCGCAAGTCCGCGAGGTCCTGGGATCGATTCTCGGCTCAGCAGGAGGCTCCTCCTACCATGACGGCCATCTTGCAACCGGCACTAGTCTCACTATATCACATCACACTTCACTGCACCGCGGTTGCATTCTTATATTCAGCCATGCGCTCGTATCCTCGGACCATCCCTTCTTGGACTCTAATGGACATTTTCCTTGCGACATTGGAAAATTTTCATTTAGTTATCCGTGCGAAAGGTATAATCGACCATAAACAATCGACCAAAAAACCACCACAAGAAAGGATGAATATTTTTTAATTTATCAATTTATATAAAAATAGCACACAGCAACAATCGACCAAGAGCAAAAAACATTTTTTAAAATAAGTTAGCTATCCATTGTAATTATAATAAAATTGTATGTTATAGGTGTAATACTGTAGATAAATAAAACAAATATTACTTGACAAATATTACTTGACAATTAGTTTAATTTTTTGGAACTTAGATCCAAAATATTTAATAAACAAAATGTGCTTTTAATTTTTGTTTCAGGTGCTGAAGTACTGCGATCATCTGCACGGAAAATGGTACTTTTCAGAAGTCCGCGCGATCTTCTCGCGTCGTTATCTGCTGCAGAATGTGGCCATCGAGATCTTCCTCGCCAGCAGAAGTAAGTGCCGGCAATTCCTCTCGTTTTGTTCGTCCTCAATCAGCGCGCCGCTTTCGAACGAGAGCGCATTCCGTTTCTTGTCGACTCCCCGAGCCCTTTTGCGAATCCTTATTTTGCACGGCAAAGTCGCGATCTAATTCCCGGCGAATGGCGGCGGAATCCCGAACTCGCCGCAAGGTGTTGTGCACGCACGTTAGTTTTTATATAATAAATATCTCGCCCGCATTACGATATGTCTTTTTCCAAAATCAATTTATTATTCAATCCCGCGGGCGCGCCTGCTACTGTTACTATATTTCATCCACACCGTCGTATCGCATATATGACTTAACGCATTAACTTGAATAACCTCATATTTCCATAAATACAGAATTGTCGTTTCTCTCATCGAGAATTAACGTAAAACTGCCGAATTGATTAAAATATATCACTTTTTTGTATTAATTTAATGTGAAAGAGCTAAAATCGAAATTTTATATGTGCACGAATTCATCGCACTCGTGTAATTACTACGATGTTTTTGTTAACAAATCTTTGTTTATCCGAGACGGATTGTAATTGTATCTTGTAACAAAACCGCGTGAGAGAATTATTTATACCTGCTTCGGGCCACTATCCCGCTGATTATTTCTTCGGGGCGCAGATAAATTCCCAAGCGTTCCCCGATTCTAATCTGATCCTGACTTTCGATGCGTCGTGAGGAGACGTTAGCGATGGAATGTCATCCCTGCGAGGAGCCTTCGCCGTTTCATTAAAAAAATCACTGGAAACGCGCGTTCGTTAGCCGAAAAACGCCGGGGAACACGCACGAATTGCGTCTCCTCTCGCGATAAATCGTCAAACGATAAAAAGCCGAGGATGAGTTACTTTATAACGGAGCCGCGGTGTAACTTTGGTCATCGGATCGTATGTTTTACATTACAGTCACTCTAAATTACATGAGAGAGTCGTCTCGTAATCACGAACGTAGCAGTTAGTCTTACAATATTCTTACGATTACCGTCTCTCGACATGCTACCTTACGTCCGCTCTCGTAATTTACGTTATCGGATATTCCGAATGTGCGGATAAGGGTGGCTTTTGCGAGAAAGTGATTGCTGGAGCACATCTGCTTGCCTTGCTAGGCCGTATGAATGTTAAATTTTTAATAATACGCGAGTACCAGCATGAATTTAAAGAAAAACCTAAAACATCTGGAGAGGATACATGTTTAAAAATATATATGTGCACATTAAACATTATATTATGAAAATTGAACACACGGGTGTACACGTAAATCAACAACATCGAAAATTAGTTAAAGATTATTTATTATTTATACGATATTTATTAAAATTATGAAGATATATCGATGTTTTCTTTGTTTAGAAGAAAGAAAAAAGGTTTAAAAAAAAAATATATATATATATAAACATTCATTTCATATATATTTTATTCATATCGCATAAATAAAACGATTAAATTTTTCTTCTCTCTTTAATTAAGATTAAAATGTGCATTTTATTTTTGTATAGACACTTCGATAAATTACTAGGAAGTATTTATGGTAACCATTTCCTCGCACGCTACCCTTTGAACTCTCAAGGGAACATCGCGAACACACTCTGAACGATTGAGTCTTCTCTATCATTCCGTGGAAACAAGGAATCGACTTTAATGTTTACAAATTTATCATAAGCGACGACATTGTATAATAAATTAAATACCATTACATTTATTAATTTATTATCTTAATCTATCTTGAGATGAGTATTAGCATATGATTAAGTAATAACATTCTTATGATGTACGAAGATAATATTATCGTTTTTTATCTTTGTCACAATGTCTTCATTAAAGTATAAGTTTTATCAATATTCTCATATGTAAATACACGTCTGAAACTGAAAAGTTAGATTTCTGCAACGGAAAGGAGATCTCTCCTTTTCTTTCTTTCTTCCGTTCATCAACCGAATGATTGACGTCGGCGTATCCTCGGAACCGGACTCGCTTATAATTCACATTTTAACACCTTTTTGTCCACAGCTTCGATCTTGTTCGCGTTCTCGGACCAGGCGACAGTAAAAAAGATGATCAAGGCGCTACCGCGGGTCGGCGTTGGCATCAAGTACGGGATACCCCAGACTAGGTAAGCGATAACTGCCTAGAGAAAGAAAACGCTTCTGTCGTTCCACAAGAAGATCCAAGGATCTCGGAATCTACTTCCAAACATGCTTGTCGCATTCCCTTCTTTCTTTGTCCTTTTCGACAAGGCGACTTCAGGGACGGATTCGTAGCGCTTTCTTCTACAGATATTTATCAATTTCAAAAGCTACAGCAGCACACGAATAGAAAGAATGAAAATATATTTTAATTGGTCGCAATCAGCGAATTAAATAGAAAAAGCGATTAAATGAAGACTATTTTTGGATAATGATTTGACATTAATAAAAATGATAATAAGTATTAATTAGAAGAAATTAAAAATTTATCTCTATACAAATGATTCTTATAACATTTTAATTACGTGTTTATTCCACGTGTATTATCTTTATTGTACTCATAAAGATGTCTTTTATCTAATATAAAATTTTTATATCGCAAGAATTGATGTATTATTTATTAAGTAAGTTATATGTATTACTTTTTTACGATCTTATTCATCTACGATCATATCTTGAAGATATTAAATTTTTAATTGGAAATACAAGAAATAAAATTCTGTACACAGCAATAGTAAAGTTTTTATTGGCAATAGTAAAGTTTATATTTACATATATTATTTTATTATATATATATATATATATATATATACTATATTTCATCTTATCTCTTCATGCCTATCTTATGAGATGTTAAGTATTTATTGTGTTTGAAAGAAAGAACATAAGAACAAAAGAACATAAATAAATAAAAAAGATAACAAGAGGGCAAACTTCGTCCCTGCGCGAAGTTCCATGCCTTTCTCGTATTGTACTGTCCGATGGTAGGCACTGAAAAGAGAGATCCTCGCAGGATACGGAATCTCCTATAGGATCGGTTGGAGATAGCGGCAAGAACAGAGCGTATCCGCGCTTCGATTCATCCATTAGAACGTTCCTACATACGAGATAGCCGGCGAGAAAGATACATCGGCCATAAATATGCGAAGTCCGACGTCTGATTCGAGAAGAGAGAAAATTCCTGACCAACCGAAATAATTCATCAATATATAAAGTATAAATATTCGCATCGAGATGCATGAAAAAACGAAATACAGTCGACGAGAAAGCTCCTTAATATTTAATTAATATATTGCGTTATTTAACATCTCGAAGAAACATTGTAATTATGTGTCGGCCTGCTTAATTTTAAATTAGTCGCATCTTAAAAACTTATTTTCACATTTCAGTGAAACGTTTCAGCAAGTTTAATTATATTAAGATATTCAATATTAAAAATTTAAATGTCGGACACTTTAGATTTATCAAGTATTAAAATTTCATCAGCGACGGACATAAACCATTCTACTATATATTCGCATAGTATTCAATATGAATTGTTTATTATATATATATATATATATGTATATATATATATATATATATATATATATATAT